AAGATTCGAAGAGCATCATTGCTTCGTGCATTTGGTTCTGCGTTTGCGTTAGATAAGATGCTTCTTCAGAAGCACTGAGGCTGAATTCGACTTACGGCATTTTGATCCTCTACTAAGCACTGGTCGTAGCCAGATAGGCGCGACCAAAAGAAGGCACTGGACACCTTCAAAACAGTGTATCCATTTTTTGCGCTCAGAGCGTTGCCCACCAACGTCCATCATTCTGAAATTCATTTGCCCCAGCTCGAAGAGAGTCTCGGTGATACCAGTTGTCCTTAAACGGGCCTGCAGCATGTCCTGGTTGTCTGGTAGCCAACCGGGCTTGAATAACCGGTCAAGCGACCCGAAAAAGCTAGAAGAGAGTAAGTAATCGCTGATGAGCAAGATACCGGTCGAAGAGACCTACTATTGCAAATTGTCATGTAGAGCAAACTCGTGACCTCGAGACACGGCTTTTTGCACCCCTGCGTCAACCCACATCTCCCTCATGGCATCGCGGACCTTGTAATCTGAAAATGCTTCGTCCGATCCTACATCGGGCTCTAGATTGTCTATGAAATCCAATTGCTGAAAATTGAAAACCAACGGTTAGTATCATAAGTCGGACCAAAGCTTGGGAAATATAGAGGGTTCCCCTTAAGTTTACCTTTGTATTCTCGAGTTCGAAATCAATCTGCTCTGTGCGCATAATATCCAGCAAAACCTTAAATGCGATGACTAGATTAGAGTATATAACCGCACGTGTCTGTCGTCGCTCATCCTCAGGAAACCCTGAATGGCGCATTTGTTTGATAATTGTTGATTTACCTGACTCCCAGCACCTACAAGGAACCATCAGTATGTGTGTTCGAGCTTATGGATGCGCCGTATCGTTTCAAGGGCATACCCAGTAGAAGAATCTTGATTGTCCTGTCCATCAATTTCTTGTCATTCTTCAGCGTTTTGTCTATCCGAGCTGTCCGCTGAACAGCTTCTTTATCCGCTGCTTCGGCCTGCTTGGAGCTCATGCAACCCATGATGTAGGTTTCCGTAGTCGAGGATAAAGCGTGGAGATAGGAGACAAGGCAACTGCAGTCAGGAGAAATATGGTCAGTGGACCGGCATCGATAAAACGCACGCGAAATCAGATCTTCAACGCAGATTGCGAGTTTCTCTCGAGCTGAATCAGGAGACTGCGTGCACTCCACCAAGCAACCACCTAGCGAAAGGACATCGAGACATGTATCAATGATTCAACATAAATACGAGGTATAGCAAGGCAGGAAGGTTCGAGGAAAGCGCTTATTATGGGCAGTGTTCGGAGCGGAAATCTATCGACCTACCCGAAAGTACGTTCGAAGGGCTGTGGTTCTATTGGTGATAATGTTACAAGTCAGTACATAACCTTGACCGGGGAAGTCGTCTCAAATGCGCTCTTTTGTATAAACGTACTTTCACAGCTTCTGTTATAGAAAATGCCGACGTCGATATCTTTCTGCCGCTTTGATGTATCAAGGGTTGCAGACCGTTGCTCTGCCCTGCGGTGAAATGAATCGGGGGCACTTCCGATTGTGAGGGAGGTATTGTCGAAAAGTTCGAGACAACACAGCCGACTCTATAGCTTGCGAGAATCCGGAGTCGTAATCGCAAAATCAGCCGCGACAAATTCCAAAATATCACAAGCCAAATTCGATAGTTCAACCGCAACTGAAACCGACTCAGATCCTGATGGGCGGAGATTCTGGGGTCTCGGATAGGTCGAATGGCGGAGACAAAAGTCCCGACAAAAGAAGGGGACTCCTATGCCGACAGGCCGCGATGCTTCCTCAACCCTGCAGGGGTAGAAATAGCAGTTACTCGCAGTTACTCGAAGAAACTAGCAGGGGCTATTCGACGTCTCTTGCAGCAATTCCCGTAGAGCGTACACCGGTGTCACGGCGTCCTCTAGAGCAAGGAGTTCGGGCACAGCGGACCGACTATTGTGGAGGGGAAACAAAGAAGGGAAGAAAGAGATGAAGACTGGTCGCCAACAGATAGGAGAGATAGTACATGTCTGTCGTCCCACAAGACAAGTAGACAATGGAACGGGCCAGAGACCAAGCGGGGGGAGTTAGCCGGGATGGGACTGCAGGTTGGAGTACCTTAGCTTAAAGTCGTAATGGTGGAGGTGGAAGTGGAAGCCTTCCGGAGTAGGAGTAGTAGAAGTGTCAAGTGAGATGGGCACAACGATTATTATTCAAGAAGTTCTAGGCTTGCGACCCGACCGGAGAAAGGCTAATTTGGCACCATTTCTCTTAGCTATTCAGTTAGACCTCGGGATCAGGTCGACTTCTTTGGTATAGTTTCGTTATGTTTATGTTTCAGAGCGGTTATCGAGAGTTGCCCCTGGTTCTTAAGGATTGCGTACTCGGTAGTGTCTACCTAATACTGAGTAGCCACCTAGGTAATGTTCATTAAGAGAAAACACCCAAAAAGGCGCTCCTTGGTATGTCTTATTGTTTTGTTCTAATATTACCTCAGAAGTTCTTCTCCTCGAGATACTATTGGACTTACCGACCAGGACCATTTTCAAGTAAAAAAGGTACGGGATGAGGGAACAAATGAACAGAATTCCAAGTGGCCCAGAAGGTCCAGTTGTACCCACTAGGATGGGCCATTAACGACTCTTCATTCTTCCTTCGAACACGCCAGGAACTCTTCCATGTCTCTTTTGCTGCACCTAGAGACTAGATGCATACACGCAGCATATTCCTGTTGTATCATCCATGAGACATCAATTATCAACTGTGCTGTGAAACAATGCCGCAGTCGATGTCCCCGTCCACCTATATGACAATGCACCAGCCACCAAGCCATGTGTCGCTGCTCCTGGCAAACTAGTATCTACCTATCTTCCTAGTCCATTATGGCCCAACCCGAGCCCATGATTAGTTCCCTTCATTCCCTGTGCTTTCCCCTAAATCTTCTAGTCTCCACAGAAGGCAGGCCCCATTCCCTTTCTTGGCGAGCAACTGCAACCGAACGACGCCACGAGGCAGGCATGATCGCATTTTGGCCGATTGGAATGCAAGGATCGACAGAGGGTTACTCTTGGTACATCCATTATTACAGAGTAATATTATTTGCTATTTGCTTAGCAAAAGTCTGCTTCTGGTACTCTGGTATCTATCTAAAGAGTCCATATTATTTCATTTTTCGGCGCATTGTAACAGATTTCGGATGGTGTGCATCTGATAGCGAATGGTATCACTTGGTCTAGCCTAGTGCGGTACCTAGGTAGCTTTCCGAACATGGTACTAATACTTCGCTATGACTCGAGTCCACTCAAAAAGAACGATTTCGCTGAAATCAACTTAGGACTTTCGGAATTTGGCCCTTGGCCCTTTGGTTTCATGATCTCCTTGAACAGTACTCTGTTTGAGGTTAGACAGGGATTCCTAGCCGATACGACTTACTTCGAGGTAGATGGCAACGTTGCACCACATTCTCTCAAGGTATCTATCTACCTAGTATGCACATATGCACAGATGGAGAAACAGACAGAATAGCAGGTTTGTACAGATCATACGCTGAGACATATCTTGCAGCTTGAAAGTATAATAGTACCTAGATACGGAGTGCTTCGTAAGGTAGACCATTAATAATGAATGCCTGTACGACGTCAACGCAGTATGACAGGTATCATAATAATCATTATTATTCAATGTAGATCCTGTGCGTTTTCGGTTTGCAGTCCGAGGCCCAAACCTAAACCAAAACATGAAAATCAGAGTGGAATCGCCGAGTTCTAGTACCTGCTAGGCCGATACTTGCCTTATCTGGTTGGATTTGATGTCTAACTCGTGTCCAACATGAGCACACGACTGATTCTAGAGGACAATCTTGCATGATTTAGAGACACTGCTCGGTAGTTCTCCTTCCATTATCACGGATCATTCGTATACTCTATTTCACACCCGACGACCTCCTCAGTTGTCACGGTCCACAACCTTGACACTCAATATCCATCAAACCACGTGTTGGCGTGGCGCCTACTATGTTCTATCCACAATGACCTGACCTTGGATCCGGATTATAGTATCACCATCTGACAAACCACTATTTCAGCTAACTTACTCCAATTCCATTTAGAATCCAATCCGCAGTGACATTCTCCCGAGTCTGATGCTCTTGAGAAATGAGGAGAACTGGATGTTTCCCGGCACTTACGAGTCATACGTTTTATTAACACAGCATACGAGCCCTGCAGTACCTCGCTGAAGTCTGGGTCTGGGCTGTATGGCGCATGCCATTGCAACAGAATGGGCAGATTGCATGCAAGGAGACGGCTTGAGAAGGCCATGCTAAAGCCTAAAAGCATGGTAAATTCTTAGCCTTGCCCTTGCAGTAACATCTGTCGACTCCAAATAGATAGTCAGTCCGTCATGGGCTAGTTCTATGGCCTGATTGTGACGAGACCCACTACTTAGAAGCAGCAGCATCTGAGTATATTTTTTAACGTCTAAACCTTGGTCTCATGGTGGCGATATGACAGTGACTTTGCAGCATCAATTTGCATCAGTTGCCAGCACTCTTAACTTCATGTCACAGGCTAACACTGGTCAACCACGTTTCGGACTCTTCATCATAGCTGTTAAAGATTAGTCTAGTGAAATTGTCCGGGGAAGGAAAGCTCTGGATCAGAAATGAGCTCTGCCAGGGTGCCAGGGTTTGCCCCGTTGGGACCATCCAACAGGCGAAAGCACAAAGAAGAAAGCCTTAACCAAGGTGGATATGGATTCCCTGCCAAGGACATGTCAGAGTAGAAGTTCTGCAATTTCAAAGCTCCACCAAATCCCGGCACTCCTACCACTGCCTCTTGCTATCTGCCAGAATAGTGTATGTGTATGACAATAATGATACTGTCACTCGATAAACACCGTCTTCCCGTCCTCACCGCTATCTGATATTATTAGATTGTCGTAGATATGTCAAGACAACACACCGGAGGATTTTAAATACAGGGTTAAGGCCAGTGTAGATACCATATAGACCGCCATACCGAGGTTCTATTTTACACTTTAATGCGATCTCTTCACTGTCTTCGTTTTCGTGACCGTGTAATAGTTTCTTTTAAACCCCTAAACATAGTCTAGATCCTGTCAGCAGAACCTTCCTGTTCTGCGTCGCTGGTGAGCAAGTGCCGATGTTGAGCGAGATATTGCCGTGTCTACTCCGTACTTATTCATGATCAAACACCCACATCTATATCCGTATTTCCCAAGATAGAACAGTTATGAAATAATGAATGCACAATGCGGGTCTATGAGTACGGAGTACCCGTAATCCACCTTGGCTGAAGATCATCATAAGAGTTAGGGAACGTTGGGAAATGTTTGATTTGGAAGTTTCTGCTTTGGCCTCCTGCAAAGTGGGAAATACCTCTCCGAGCGGCTCTGCTGATGACTAGAATCCCGTACTCCGTACAGCATAGAGGGCTGAAGCCAGATCACGCCATAATAACAGGAGAATATAGCTGAGATAACTGGATGAGGGAAGCTAGCATGGGCTGAGATACCATCCACTATGAACTTTCCACTTGAGTAGTTTGCAGTGTCTCTAGCTTCATAGAAGGACTAGATTAATCGCTAGGAAAGACAGGTAATTCGGCTTTGGCAGGTTCGTTCTTTTTGCCCAACCGTTTATTTTGTTTCCGGACAATTTAACTGAGCCAAATCAAATAAGTTTGGCAAACTTAGACGAGTTTGGGGCTGTGGTACTTGCAAGTGACAGTTGACGGTGACAACTAAAGGATAGATATCTAGTCGTCTACTGGATAAATGGGAGGGTATATGCAACTACCCCGACAATGATCATCATCAGGAAGCGGATTACGTTCTCTATGATGAATGTTCAGGTCCTGGATTTCTACTACCTAGTGTTTATTCATACTCCGTGCAGCCTGATTTCTTACGATCTCAGCTAAACTTGTCTAAATTGAAGAATGCTGGTCAACAGGTTGTATCACTCAACCCATGACCGATATGTTGCAATACAAAGGGTCCGTCATACATATTTCAAGCTCACAGAACATCTAATAACGTGCCTTTGGACATTTCCAACTTTGATCGCAAGAACAGTAACTGTTTACCCCGTACAACAGCTCTAGCTAGCGGCTTACTCATCATTGATCCAGCATGTGACGCCATCCTTGAATGAAACGGAGGACAATTGAGGAGAACCTGTCTTGTGAACGATAGAGCTCAGAAACCCAAGGACACGAGCTGTTGTATACTTTGTATTTTTGATCATACGCATAATAATCACATATATACTGAACGAACTTTGAAGTGGCCCGCCATGAGCTACAGGGAGGAAATGACTCCCAGCTCTCCCCCTTACAGGTTAGTTGCAGGACAGTGGCCGCCGTCACCGTCAAGCATTCACTAACTATCTCAATAATGTAGTCATGACGACTCTGACGATGCCTTTATACTACGAGAACTATCGACCCCCGAGCTTGAGAAGCGCCGGTTCCTCTACGCCGATGACCATACCCGAGATGGCAGTCTCGATATCGATGGGTTTGACGCGAGGTCGTTCGACACACCGTGGTATCGACGAAGGGGATCTTGTTTCTCAATGATCCGATTTGCTGTATTCTCTATAATGATATTCATCTCCATCGCCTACTACTTTTGGTCTATAATTCCTAGTGCGTCCATATCATGCGAATGCAGGTCCTCATTATCCCATTCTAACCATCGCGCAGACGAACCGTCCGACAGCGTTCCTCCCCGCCCTGTGTCCCCCCGCTCTGCGAATCACCAGAATGTGTACATGCTGCCTCCGAAATTCTGTACAGTCTAGATCCCAACTATGCCGAGATCGATCCTTGCGAGGACTTCGAGCAATATGTTTGCGGGGGCTGGAGAGAACGGCACGATCTGCGGCCTGACCAGGGCTCCATGTTTACTGGGACTCTTCATGGCCGAAGCAGCTCAGATGCGCTTCGACACATTTTGGAATCCACAAGTGCCCCTGAAGCTGCTGATGAAGAGAACTTTAGGAAATTGAAATCCGCTTTACAATGCTTGCTTGGACGAAGCCGCAATCAGCAAGCGTAGGTAGTTGAGCCACTTGGATGCTTTGCTGGCTCAATTCGAAGATATCTATTCCGCAGAGTCAGCTGCGGTTTGGTTTCGGATGTCAATATCACAGATGCCAGTATTATTTCTCATGAATTTCTGGCGTTACGGCGCTGGTGGAAATGGGCCCTGGTGTGAGTACTCCAGCCGTTGGCATTCCACATCTTCTTGTTCTAACAGGCGAAGCCCGATGATCGTGATCCGGACCAAAATTGTTATCTCTGTCGGCCCACCAGACGAAATTGGGCTTCCGGTCAGGGAGTTTACTACAACAGCTCCCAGACTGTGTTCCGAGTACACCGAAGTGTTGAAAGAAGTTCTTGGGGACTTTGTCGGACAGGACAAAGCGAGTTCTCCGTTGAGGATATTGTGCTGTTTGAATTCGAAGCTAGCAAATGCACACCAGATGCGCAGACCTTGCAGGATGTGGAGAAGTACTATAACCACGCAACTTTTTGACCAGATCGAATATATTGCTGCCACAGATCTCTTTATCTACCATGGTTTCCGCGCTTTCCCCTGCCGATTTTCAAGACCGACCGGCCTGGATTGTTTTCTTCGCCTTCCTTATATGGAGTCCCTGTCGACTATTCTGAGGAGGAAACCCCTTAGGAAGACTATTCATCAGTTTCTTCAAATGGGAAGATCATCCAGGCGTATGTGGACCAGATAGAGGACGCCAAAACTCACGCCCCTGCGCAGGTTTCCAACAAGCTAGCCTGGCAAAGACCCAAAGCTACAACCGAGCGGTGGAGAACGTGTATTGGGTCGTTAGATCGAGGACTCAGCTGGCAGTCTCAGTCGATTTCTATGTTCTCGATGCCTTTTCCAAGGCATCTAAGGAACTGGGTGATCAAATTATTTTGGATATCAAGCAACGATTTGGTGAACATCCTACCACCAAACTAGTTGGGATGTCGCCCGACGGTTACGGAAACTCAGTATTGAGAAAGTCGACAACATTGTCCAAAAGATCGGATACCCTACCAAGAGTCCAAATGTGATGGACCAGCGGACATCGAGAGGTATTACCACGAGCTTCATATCTCCAATGACACCTTCTTTGAGAACGAAATGGCTATTGCGAAGTTTGATTCTTCACCGAGCCTGGTCGAAGTTGGGCAAGCCCACTGACCGAAACGAATGGGGAATGACGTGCACAACTGTGAACGCCTACTACAATCCTCCCTTGCAGGAGATCGTGTTTCCGCCGGGTATTTATGCAGCCGCCAGTATTCTACGGGAAATCTGCACCTTGTATCTAGCTACGGAGCGTCTTTGGCGCTGTGACGTGGGCATGAACTTTCCCACGGTGAGTGAAGCCCTATATGAGAACTATCATCCTGAAATCTTCTTATGGTCCGCGCTAGCTTTCGATTCGACTGGTCGGCACTATGACCAGACTGGGAACTACACCGACTGGTGGGACGAGAAGACCGTCCAACGGTTTTCGAAGAAACGCGCGCAGTGCTTCGTTGATCAATACTCAAATTTCACCGTTGCCAGGAGAGAATGAGGAGCCTCTCATGTGAACGGGCGCCTTACTTGGCGAGAACATTGCAGACGCTGGAGGCCTCGGAGCGCGTTCCAGGCATTGGAAGAAGAGAGACGAAGCCTCGCGGATGGCTCATCTCCCCGGCCTTTTCCACTTTAGCAAGGAGACGCTCTTTTTCATCGCCTATGGGAAACTGGTGGGTGTGCTTAAGACGACCAAGGAAGCCGCCTTCAAGCTATCTATACTGACCCCCACGCTCCTAAGTTTGAAGAATTATATTGTGAGTTGAACGCCTGCCGTTTTGGTATAGAATAGCGTTGACAATATGATGGCAGGGCACGGATGGCCAATTCTCGCGAATTCAATGAGGCATTCAATTGCCCACCAAGAAGCCGTGTGCAAGCTCTGGTAGCTGAAGTGGTTTTTTCTGCTCATTAACTCTGCAACATATCTCTTGCTTGATAATGTACCATTGGGCGCCTGTAATCTTGTTAAATGATATACTCGACTGTACTGGCTATAGTCTTGGTTAACGTATTACTACTGCTTTGAGATTGCTCAACCATGCGTCCTTCCATGTGTTCTCCCAGTTGATTCTCGAACAATCTGCAAACCTGAGTGGCTCTTCATCTACCCAGCATCGGGTTCGAAAACCGTTATGTGTCACGCATGGTCAATCGCCTTGTAGAAACGGTAACGGTAGCAAGACCAAAGTCCAGCTGCACGGAGCTAGATCTGTCCAAAACCCGCGGCAACTCTTATCCCTCAGCTGTCAAGGTCTGTACAAAGCAGACTCAGCTACATACCTTGGTAGCTAGACGACTCGTTCTCGCACAGAGGTTGGCGAGCTACATACCAGATAGCAGATCGTAGGGCAGGACGGGAGTATTCTTTTTTCCATTTTACTCCTTTCTCCTTTTCCCCTTTCCATTCCTGCCTCCTTTTTCTCTTTACCATGACACTTCGTGTTCTTTCCACCCCCTTTTTGAGGTTCTGAATATGTACCTAGTACGGAGTATTTAGGGACGGACGTCACAGGTGGGCGATCATTCGATGGCCTAAAATTAATCCGTCCCACTTTTGTAGCTCCAACGGTCCTGTACTCCGTAAGTGTGTTAGGTATCCAAGTTGATACAGTGGACAGGTATCCTACTTGTAGTAGCAGTTAGTTTTCGATTTTCCTGCCTCATACTCCTGGCTTTAGACTACGGTGTGCACCTGTCACTCCTGGTTTGATCTGCTGGTCCAGCCTCCATGAAACATCCATCGGCGGTTGGATGTGAAGTCACGCGGGCTGTCCGAACACTAGTAGTTACAGAAGACTCCCTTGGTGGCAGGCCAATAATCCGTATATAGCTGTAGATCAATCAACCGCAAAATTTCGATAGCACTTGTACTTTGGGCATAATTCCGAATTTGGGCCGTTAGAGTTTGGTGGAGACAAAACCATAATATTCTACGGAGTTAGGTAGATAGATAGGTACCGCTTTCTAAAACCATGGATACATAGAGGCCATCCCCATGCCCCGGATGCCATTGACTTTGTACCGCACGGTAGAACCATAGAACAGTAGAATTCAAGTTGTTTCTATGGCTCAACCGTCTGAGGAGAGAGTCCTTAAAAATACCTCAGCTACATGATTCAATAATTGATGCAAAGACGGAAAGGAAGAAATGAGATCCTTCACATGATCCTTGGATGGATCATGAGTTCCCTTAGACAGTTAGAACAGACTGACAGCCACAGAGGTTCCGCCGGACTGGAACGGTCCCACGCAGCGCCCCCCCCGATCAGGGCTGGATTCAACGAACTAGTGAGACGGTGATGCGCGTCTTACCTGTTTCTAATTTCCATTGCTCTCTCGCTTTCTTCCTCTCCATCGCGCGGCTCCTGGGACATTCATGGGATATGGAGTACTTCATCATCGTGTCCTTCATGACTTGACCTCGTTATGAATTAATGAAGTTTCTGTTTTGTTTGAGAACCTGTTGTACGGACTACTATCTGTTTTCTCCGAGGCTTCTCAGCAACAATCATCTTGAAGTGATACATCACCTCCGTTATCATCTGTCGCATATTGTCTAATCTTCTATTATTCGCTGCCCGTATTGATTCGATTCTGTCAGATGCCGAGCCAGTTCGTCACACCGTCTCGGTCTTGGAATCAAAACCCTGTCATTCGTCATCTCTTCCTCGCAGCCCGCAGTCACCACAATAAGCACAATATCACCAACGCACTATAGCCTCACCAGGTTTGGTCATGTCGTGTCGCAAGCACGGTTTTCAACCCCAGCTTGGGCTGTCCATTCGTCTTCCCTCGGTGTAGTCGACGCGACCTCTGTGAAGCAGGGGGACGACTAGTCCACTACACATATCATCTCCTCGTCTTACATAGACCGTACTCGATCTCCCACGGTTTTTCTCCCTACATTAGCCGACATGGAGTCGGTGGTATTGGCACCTGACAATATATCTCTCCAGTCGGATCGGCCCAAGGACTTTTCCCCGACCGTACGCGAACGTGAATATCTCGCGAACGAACCAATCGATATTGAGACCCGGTTTGCGACGTCAGCCTCCAATTTACGACGCGCTCACACCGTGGCACAGGGAAGGAACATCGCAAAATCAAATATTGGCGTGAAAGCGGTCAGGGGAAGGGTTGCAACCTCGATCCTACGTGCCAAGGACAGCCATGAAGTACTGAAAAAGCGTCCTGTTAAGCGCTTCGACATCCCACAGGCCCGCGTGATGCGCTTGCAGGTGCGAGGGAACCGAATCACTTCACAGTTGGAAATGTCGGGCAGAATGGCAAGATCTTTCTCAGGTATGGTTGGAGCAGGCGCTCAGGTTTCACGAAGCTTGGGAGAGACCACAAAATGACTAATGAACCACCTTGATTCGTTCAGGCCGATTCAGAATCCGT